CAAATGGTCGTCCAACAGCGCCAAAAGTCCAGGCATAATTCGAAGAAAAATCGATCTCTCGTCTCCCGAGGCAAGACTGTACTTCGCTTGTTTTCAATCGGCTTTGCTGCCTATTGGTCTTTTCTGGTTCGGCGTAAGTGATGTATCTTCCAGTTATTGTTCAATTGGCTTACAATGTTTAAGTGGACACAATTCTCTTCAATTCCTTGGATAGTCCCAACTCTTGCCATCGGCTGCGCAACTATGGGAATATACTCGATATATCTGGCAACTTTCAACTACCTCGCAGATACTTATCATCGATATGCGTCATCTGCTCTCGCGGCCCAGAGTTTCTGTCGGAATGTTCTAGGCGGTATATTCCCTCTCATTGCAAGTATAATGTTCAACAATATTACGTTTCAAGGAGCAGCATCTTTACTTGGTGGAATTGGAGCGCTATTGACCATCGTACCTTGGGTATTGACCATTTACGGACCGACCATTCGCTTAAGAAGCAAGTTCGCAAGCGAAATTATGTAGCTTTGCCCAAGCAAAACAGTTAATGCTGTTGGGTAATCACGTCAGTGACGCTAAAAAGTTATTTGCTATTATTCTTTTCGGAAAAAAGCGTTTCGAATTTACGATTTATGATACATGACCTTGGCCGAAGAGGCTATAAATTATTGGGATAATTGGATATGTGCGCAGCAACTACTGAGGTCATGCAAGGCCTCAAGATATGATGGAGATATTTGAGCATGTGGAAAAAAGATTTAGTCACATGAAGAAGAATCCTCCGAGGGAAAAAACATAGGACAATAGAGGAAAGTAAAGATACACACGAAGATAATGAGATATGCTATACGTACATAGGGAGAGAATAGGTGCAAATTGTATATACCTTATGAAATGAAGTCTGAGCATTGATGCTGCAATGATTAACAAGAAAAGACAATTTTTGGCTCCAGTGCTTTGTATCTAGACTTTACACATTCCTTGTTCAATCCTACCAGCTGGTGTATACTTAAACTGACCCCTTTTTGGTAGCTTCTTCATGTTATTAACCCCATTCGTCGGAAAACACTAGTACTAGTTCAATATCAAGCTTCAAGATTCACTAGCTTGTAACAAAATCAGAGACATTGGAGAATAATATATAAGCATTCTTCTCCGCAACCTGGGGATTTCCAAATTTATGAAATTCGAGAGGTCCGACAAGTAGCCGAAGTCGGCTCGAGGACAGTACTGACCTTGCTAGCGTTATCAGACCCTGATGGAGATCTTCGGCCAAGGATAACAATTTATTTATTAGGTATCTGCTACCAACTATCGGTCTGAATTGATCTGGAAAAACACAACATTTACCTCCAATCCGAACTGATTTTTACAAACTTGTTCATCAGCTTCTGGATTTATATAATAGGGATACCTAGGCACAACCTCAAAACTACATCAAAGTTTACAAACTCCACAGTCAAAATGTTGCGCTGGTAGGTATTTCCTTATCTTTTATGCAACCGCTGATATCATACTTCTTTTTGTCTCAGATCTCTATGATCGATAGCTAACATTAATGTAACAGGTACCAGATGAAGTTGGCAGCTCGCCCTGTCCTTACTCAAAGTGTGACATCGGCAGTCCTCTTTGCAACTGGAGATGTATTGGCACAACAATTAGTTGAAAAGAAGGGTATTAAAGACCATGAAATTGCTCGCACAGGTCGCATGGCACTTTACGGTGGTGGTATGTAGAAAAGAGCTCAAAACAACATCGGGAAGAGATTTTAACAAAACCTTTTTAGCTATCTTTGGTCCGATCGCTACCAACTGGTTCAAATTCCTCCAAAACCATGTTGTCTTGAAGAACAAGAACCTCGAAATGGCAGCTCGAGTCGCAGCCGATCAATGCATTGTTGCCCCTATCAACTTGGGCTTGTTCCTTACCACCATGTCCGTCCTCGAAGGAACCGATCCAAAGAAGAAGATCGAAGCCAACTACTCTACCGCTCTCCAAAAGAATTACATGATCTGGCCTGCTGTTCAAGCTGTCAACTTCAAACTTGTTCCTCTTGAGCACAGAGTCTTGGTTGTCAACATCGTCTCCTTGGGCTGGAACTGCTACCTCAGTTACTTGAACGGACGTAGTACGGAAGTCACAGTTGAGAAAGTGGTAGAGAAGGTCAAAGAACTTTAGAAAATGTACATCATGGTTACAAATCGGGATTCGTTATACACTCTGGCCAATGGCGATTTGATGGATTTCACAAGATCTCGACTGGATAGACTTTTAAAAGTACTGCATCATATCATAGCGAGGCGTTTAGGATTGGCTTCAGTTGTATTACGAATATAGATAGTCTAGATCATATATAAAACAATGAATGCATTTGGGAAGGGGTCAATGATTTTCTACATAATTTTTGTGATGGTGTTGATTGATCGGTGACGTATGTTGGATCCCGCTATCTGATATCTGATAGTGGAATATTCTTCGACTTGCTCCCATATAGTCGCGAATTATATGTGTATACTGAGTAGTTTGTTGCTTCAAATCTTCTGTAAGTCATCTTCTATCTATTCTCCCATTTGGATTGCTTTCAAGTATCTCCAAAGTTTTAATAAATTTCTGCATATCAAGTTTTCAGGAATGGCCCAACCAAAACAGCGGCCAATGCCCAAATGCCAGTGATTCACGTGATGGTCTTCTTAGTAAGCATCAAGGGTTCCAGCCGAGCTTTTTCAAAACAGCAAGGGCCACCACCACCCACCACCTCTAATTGCAAGTCTAGTCTAGTCGCATCGCAACTTCAAAAAATTGAAGAAAGTGCTAACAGCCAAAGCAAACCCACTCCTACAATACTAAATCGGAAGAACTCCGATAATCTCAATACATATAAAGTAGACAATTTGCCTGGAGCAACAAGTCTATCGAATCAAAAGAAAGTGAACCGAGCATAATCGTCTCAAGACTCTTTTGCCTTTGCTATTATCCATTCACTCATCACCCCGCCACGGAAATAGAATTTCGACTAGCCTCGCATTCAATTCTGCAATAGCACATCACATCAACTCTAGGAATCTTTTCAGCACTGACTTTATTCCAACTCAACTCTTCTTTCTCCTCCCCTTTACGATCCATCAGACACTAGATCCTACCACACATTCAAACATAATACAAACATGGCAGCCGTCGCAGCACAAGCACCAACTGGTGAACAAGTTGACTTGTCAACTATTCCAGTCTCACCTGAAGGAGCCAGCAATTCGAATGAGAACACCAAGCCAGCCACAGATGGTGAACAAATTACTGTTTTTCATGATAAGGATAACTTCAACGTCAAGCATCCTTTGATGAACAAATGGACTTTGTGGTTCACAAAGCCACCCAGTGGAAAGGTTGTTCTTCTACCACAAGGTCTTTTTAGGTCGACCATGCTGACTTCAAATATAGGGTGACAACTGGAATGATCTCTTGAAAGAAGTCATCACCTTCAACTCTGTTGAGGAATTTTGGGGTGTCTACGTAAGTATAATGCTTGAAGTGTTGTGTCTTTGTCTATCGTCTTTTGACTTTGCTAACTTTTCTTTCCCGCAGAACAATATCGCACCAACCTCTGAACTCGCTCTCAAATCCGATTACCATCTGTTCAAGGAAGGCGTTCGACCGGAATGGGAGGATCAGCAAAACAAGCACGGTGGAAAATGGTCATATCAATTCAAGGAAAAGCGCAATGTTCCTATTGATGAACTTTGGCTCCACGTCATGTTGGCAGCTATTGGAGAGACTCTCGAAGAAGAGGATGACGGAGAGGTGATGGGTGTTGTTGTCAACGTCAGAAAGGGATTCTACCGTGTTGGTGTCTGGACTCGCACAATCGGCAAGAGCATTCCTGGAGGTGGAGATGGCAATGGTGCTGGAGGAAAGGGAAGATCTGCCGAAAAGGGCAAAGAGGTTCTGATGAACATCGGCAAAAAGTTTAAGGAAGTCTTGAAGCTCCCAGCTTCTGAGGCAGTTGAATTCTCTGGCCATACCGATAGTGCACACAGTGGAAGCACTCGTGCGAAGGCTAAGCACTCAGTCTAGACGCTTTCGACATGTACACGAGATGAGATACGATTCTCCTTTGCCTGCGTTACGATTTCGTGAATTTCTTTTCTATAAAGGTCCACGAAGTAGGCTAGGGCTAAATGGATGGCGGTTCAACAAAGGTTTCCGGTTTTTTCATGGCAGTATCTGCATGCAGCATTATTGAAGGCAACAAATACCTAAAATCGGCTTCTTAAAACTATGGGGGAGTAGTATTTGTGCCATATTGTTTTTATTGCTCTGCTATTACACTACCGCTTTTGGTGGTGGTTATTTTATGCATGGCGTTATTCTACACTGGGCAATCAATATAGGCTCAGATATCAGAGGTGTGTTCATAGAGATGCGCGAAGCATGAATTTAGCAAAATCAAAGTTACATATCAATTGAAAAAATGAACGTTGTAATGAATGCCAGGCAAGTATGTTGAGAAAGATGTATGTGGTTATGGGTGTGCTTGTTGCTGTCTTTCATCTAAAGTTTGTGCAAGGGGCAATGAGTGTATGTCTGCTTATGCGGGCGTCTTCGTCTGAATCGCACTTTCATTTTCTGCTTGCATGGTTGTTCTTGTCCCGGTCCTCTCCTCTCTTTAGAAGCATTGTGTTAGCGGCTTATCGATATATTTAGGTGATGTAATGTCTATAGGATGCATCCTGATCGGTTACAAACAGGGACAGTAGAGATGATATATCTATCTTCCACTTGTAAGTATACACCTTACTCAGAAATTGTGATTGACCCTCTACTACTTTAACATCAGCTATCTTACAAGTTGAAATGCTAAATCTCATCCACACTGAGGGCAAATCCCAAAGTGCTCTTCTGTAGATGGGAACGGTGATGAATTGATTCGATCTTTTATATATGGGGGGTACTATACTACAACGTATTTCATATCTTTCCCCAGCCCTTCTATGTTACAATCTCACCTCTCACATTTCATCTCCACTAATATCATCTACAAAAACGCTCTTCACAAGCACCTTCTTATTGATCTTCCCCATTGCATTCCTTGGAATACTCTCCACGACCCTCATCACCTGCGGGATCTTATATCCCGCCAATCGTTCCTTGAGCGCTCTTCTCATATCCAATGGTCCCCATTTCTTTCCCTCTAGAAATTCTTCATTCAATACTACTACCGCACCAACTTTTTGGCCCCAGTTTCCCGATGGCACGGCACAGACTGCACATTCTGATATTTGGGGAAGCGATAGCATCTCCCGCTCTACCTCAAGCGCGCTTACTTTTTCCCCTCCGGATTTGATAATGTCAGCTGATTTGCGACCGCGGATGAAATACATAGGTCCTTTAGCCCACTCCTGGTCACTCTTCCCCGCGCTGTCAACATGGCGACGGACAGCCACATCGCCCGTTTTGAACCAGCGACCGCCGCCATCGGGATCATCGACGTGCTCTTTGAGTGTGGCTTCTGGGTTACGCCAGTATTCTTTGAAGATTGTGGGGCCGCGGAGCTGGATCTCTCCATCGCGTTCTTTACCGTTGGAGTCGAGTTCCGAGCCGGGAGCAATCACTTCGTTGGTTTCGGTATCGACGAGTCGGACTTGGACGGTGGGGAGGGGCCAGCCTACGCTGCCGTCCACGCGGTCTGTGGGTGACAGACCACAGGAGAGGGCCATGCCCACTTCGGTCATGCCATAGCGTTCGAGAAGGATGTTGTTGGAGGAGAGGGTGGACCAAGCATTCTTGGTGGGAGTGGGAAGGGCGGCGCTGCCAGAGATGTTGAGGCGGAGGTTTGAGGGGGAGACGGCTTCTTTTGCTGCAGATTGTTGTTCGGGTGAGAGATCTTTGTGGGTTTTCAGAAGACGATTATAGACTGTGGGGACGACTGTAAAGAACGTAATGGGTTCCTTGATTTGGGTATCCGGTAGGAAGGGGGCAGCGAAGCGTTGCCAAACGCCCGTGGCGTTGAATGGGAAGAGAAACTCGATCGTAGAACCGGTAAACAGGGGTGCAAGAATAGCATTTACAGTGCCGTGAATATGATGAAGAGGGAGGACATGAAGGAGATGATCTTGAGGACTGTAGTTCCAAGCTTCGATCAGAGATTTTGATTGTGCTGTCAGGACCGATTGAGGAAGCAAAACTCCTTTCTGGTATCTGTAAGTAACCATTTAAATTCTATAACAATGGGAAAGCTCACAGGTCTGTTGGTTGTGCCTGACGTATACAACATCATGCCTCCTTTACCCTCTGATGGCCCTTCCAACGTGACTTTGCCATAGTCTGAGTTCTCAAGCTTTTTCTCAAGCTTAATATGTTTTGGTTTGGATTCCAGATCAGTATTCATCACTTCCTGAGCCTTGCTCTCGAATTTGGTTGAAGACAACAACATTGAAGCCTCGCTTTGGTCCAAGATATATTGTAATTCATGTGCAGGAAATGCCGGGGACAATGGGACAGCTATAGAGTGTGTACCAAAGATGGAAAGTAAAGTCACTATATATATTATCTTAATCTATGTTCTTTCTGCGTATGGATATTTTGGGTTGCGCACCCACATAATCATAGCTATTTTCTACAAGGAAAGCAACTCTTTCCCCTTCTAATCCCTTTTGCCCAGCTTCGTTCGAGAGTTTGTCTCTTCTTTCTGCTACATCGTGTAATAATTGACCATATGTAAACCGTCTCCCAGAGGCTGAATGTATTACTGATATAGATTTGGGGTCATGGCTTGAGATAGCTTCGAAGAGAGGTATTCTTGGGAGCGTGGATGCCATTCTTGCACTGAATAGAGTGGCGGGGGTCTTGGACAATGAACGGAGGAATGTTGAGGGGTTTCGTTGTAGAAGTGACAGTGATCTTCTGCTGCAGAACATTGAGACGACAGGACGGTGGAGAGGCATTGGTAAGGGTGGTTGATTGGATGGCAGATAAAACCAAATTACAAGGAGGCCTGTCGAGAGATGCTGCTAATCGTCCGAGGTCCGGAGTGGAGTTGATGCTGCTGAGGAACGTATTGATAAGTAGTATATTGGTCGAGATCGATTTGCTTTTAGGTAATCCTTATTGCATCTACCTTACGTTGAAACTATAATACAAATGCACTTTTTCTATAGCCAACATCTTATGGATAGTCTAGAAACGGTCTAGGGATCTGAACATTCTTGACTGAAGATGGATTTCGAGGTTCTAGAATTGTGATTCGGGAAAGGCTACGACGGATGACGATGCGGGCCGATTCTTAGATAAAAGTCTAGCCTCAAAACTACAAGGCTCTTTCCTAATCCCTGCTACAGTTGGCGAGGCTGTCATGCAACACATAATTGTATCATACAATCAAATAAATATTGGAACAGTTTGCGCTCCAATCAAACATTCGTCATTAACATCTGCTCAATCTATTGTGAAGCAATAGATTAATGCTTCGCATCATTCGTCCCGCTGTCTCACGGCGCTATCTATCAACAGTCATGGCATCCAATACTCCATATGAAGATATCATACGCACTCGAGTGAGTATCCTTCTCCCCTCATTTCTATTTTATTTATTGTTTCCACTAACGTATCATTCTAGCTGACAGAAGAGTTGAAACCTACCCGTCTTGAAATATTCAATGATTCGTCCAAACACTCACATCACCAAGCTATGGCTGGTTCAACGTCTCATGAGACCCATTTTCGAGTCGAGATTGTATCGGAGGCGTTTACCAAAAAGATGCAACCTGCGAGACATAGAATGGTGTACGCTTTATTGAAAGAGGAGATGGCGAAAGAAGGTGGCATTCATGCTCTACAGTTGAAGACAAGGACACCCGAGGAAGAGGAACGGCAAAAGGCAAAGGAGGAAGGAGAGGACAAAGGAGCGGTTGTTGCTGAGGCAAGTGGACCTTAGTAGAGGGATTTGATGTTTTATCTGGTGATCGAGATACTTCCTTCGAAAATCATTGCAAACTGGCAGATTGAGTGGTCGAAGAAAACAACTGTGAAGCTGTGTGCTTATGCTATTGCTTGGTTGTGGAGTTTAAGGCAGATTTGAATATACAGAGCGAACGCATTGAGCGAAAGATTGCAGCGTTTCATTTAATGAAATCCTAAGCATATACATTACCTAGACCATTTCAGTCGGCTTCTCGATGTCCAATTTATCACTTTGGTCAAAATCATTTGCGCTCAAAAACGAGCATAGATTCTTTAAGAGAAATAGTCTAAGGTGAACGCTTTCTATGTTTGCTTCATCGCTGCTCGACTGTAAACCAAGATCAAAGGGACAGATGCTTGGCTGAATCAAACAGGCAAATCAACTGTCAAAACACCCAGCTCTTCCGCCAGTACGAGCAGTGGATTTACCACAGCTTCGACATCTCCGGTTTTGATCGGAATTCTATGATTGCCATCCCATGCAATCACTTGCGCACTTCCTTTCTCGCACCAAATTTTTAGCAATTCTTGATGTAATTCCAATCCCGGGTCTTTGGAGCCATGAACGTGAATAGTCGGCAAAGTCAAAACGTCATTCTCATCCACCGGTCCCCATCTATCCTGATCTCTCTCCATACTTATCAATGGCGGTCTTCCAGCCATCAAAACCGCAAATCTCCAATTCTGTCCCTCCAAGTCCCTTCCTCCTTCTTCTCTAATCTGCCTCCTCAACAATAAGCTCCCAGCTATCTTCGCCCCCTGACTGAATCCCAACAATCCGACCCAATCCCCGGTAGCTCCTTTGGCATCGTCCTCTTTCATTGCCTTCTCAATACTCTCTTCGATAGCAATCACCTCATCACGTGTATCTATCACTTCATGTTCTGGTAACCAGCCCAGCCAGCGTTTAAAAGGTCCAAAATCTCCATAGACACTTGTAACATCGGGCCCGGCACCAGATTCAAAGGGTGCTTCGGCAAATATGAGACGGAAGTAAGGTTTCAAATGGGAAGAGAGGGCGCGACATTGCATGGTAAAGATTCGAGCATTTGTTCCCCCGCCGTGGAGACAGAGTAACCGGGGTAGATCAAGTGTGGGATCGTGGCGTGCAACCATTATTGCTTGTGAATAGCGGAATTTGTGGTTCGGGAGATTGATGAATATTGTGGAGAGTTTGGAGTAAGATATGATTCTTGGGTGAGAACGAGATATAAATGTGCAAGTTTTTGAGCTGATGACAGGTAAGATCAAGATATGCTAAATTTAGAACAGGTAGCCTTTTGTGCTACGTTCCTATTGTGCTTTGACAACCATTCGATCGTGTTTTAGAAACTTATGGAAAGCTGATCCTGAAAATCTCATCAACGATGAAAGCATATGAACAAGCTCAATACATCCGGAAAAATGGTTAGTATTATGATACGGATGTCCGTTTCAATAGAATTGAGGGTTCGAAGAAGTATTGGCGGGGAGGTGGGGTCTGATAAGGAGGTAAGGGTCCAACACAGATCACCTTGCGGAATTCCATCCCTGGAATAGTACCACACGGATTTCATACCTTGAACCTTATCTATTCAGACGTCCGAAGCAGACCTATGGCATTTCAAAACCAGAAGATGAGCTTTTGATATTTTCAACATGAATCAATACGAACCGATGAATAAGAAAACTGGACAAGTTGAAGCAACATTGCGTGGGGAGATTCTCTCGCTAGTAACCTCAGCAGTCTCGAGGCAGTGCGTTCAATAGTCCGAATTGCGGTTTGATAATCAAAAGCTTTCAATGTCTGGAGATATTTCAATCTACGAGATGCACTCTCAGTCTTTTGGATTATTTAGATATTCAACTTGGAGTAGTAGGCCTTGAGAGCTTCTCATTGTCGGATTGCAAGCCGAGCGAGATACTTAAAGTCCAAGGACCTTCTTATATTTACAATATCACACAATCGCTTTTAAATCACAAGAGTTCACATCAACAGCGGCGTGTACTTCTGTCGCCATAAGTGATAGCTTTTTATCATACTTACCTCCAATTACTCTTGCTACATTAGCTTCAAACGCTTTCATTTACCCTTGGCCATCCATAACTTCTGTACGTCTTGATACTCTGGAAAGTTCCATTCTCCAATCGAGCTTAGTGGCATTTACTGATGAACTTTGTGGTTGATTTTGATCTCATGAACTTACTCAACTAATCTGAATGGATTGTTGGATAGTTTCCAAGATGTGACTTCTCGAGATTAGATCACTTCAACGGTATCCCCAACTTGGCCTTATTCCCAACTTCTCATCATCCACCTGATCTTATCACCTATATCGAATTGATTGTAGCAGCTTCAGACTGTTCGTGTGATAAGCAAAACCGTGGAAATCGTGGCATTGTTCACAGACTGTTGCTTAGCCGAGTTTCTGCAATTATTACTCGCGCTGATATCACATTTAAAACAATGACAAAATAACCCTGCTACATGTATATATATTCTCCATGCTCACGTTATAATATTCAACCATAAGTCCCAGTAGCATCAATACCTACAGAGTACACTCTAGTAAAAACTGTATTCATAGTACCTACTAGCATCCCCTATCAACCCATTTCAAACTTAATCATGTGCACAGAACGCCAAGTTTATTATCTCTGCGGAGACTTCACTCTCCGTATCGAGGGTTGCGCTCGCCAGCAATTAATGAATTCTCGTCCAAATGATTGTCCTCGCTATCAAATAGTAGTGGTGCAAGAAACGAGAGTTTGCATTGTTTGCTGGAGAGAGAGAAACACCTCTACTTGAATCTAGTCCGCGAGCTGAGGGCTTAAGTGGTTGAGTCAAGTGAAGGTTGAAGAGTATTGTATGATTTCATCTGTAGATCAGATGAATATGAAGTTATTGAGTGAGATATAGTAGGTCTGGTACTTACTTTGCTTGCTTCTCCTATTGCAATAAAATATTATTTAAAAACGTCAAGTTCAGTTCCTATATGAATAATGCGTAAAAAATGAATGTGAGATCAATATTCCCGTCAAAAGTCACAAAAATATGATTCAAGCTTGTCTCCTTCGTTTTTACCTCATCTATGCAGAATGTGCTAATCTTCCGACTCCAGATCAAATACAAAAAATTCACAACACAGGTCTCCTCGCGTCTACCGACAAAGATCGCGGGGTGTGAGGAGTTGCTCCCAGCTTCACTTCTAGAATTAAATCCACAGAAAGTGTTGTTAAATAAAGGTGGGATTGTCAAAGAAAGATAGTGTTGTCAAAGATATCATTGTCAAACGGTATTCCATTCAAGACAAAGCACAAGTTATTTTGAGACCATGAACAATGAGAATCGCAAAGCATCAGTAACGGTTGAACACGCCTGTGATATATGTGAAGAGCTCGTGAGAACAGATGTATTTGCTGTCCACGATTCTACCGCTATGCACTCCATTCTACTATTTTGTATTATAACAGTGACATTGACTTCCTGTTTGATCGTATGGATGCGTTTTATTCTTGTCTTTAGTTCCTTTGTTGGCTCTTTTTGTCTTGAGTATTGCATTGTGCAAATTTGATCCGACTTCATACCATGTTCCTTGTCCATTCAAACTATTCCTTAACACTCCCATTTAACTAATCTTACGAATCTTGTGATGTACTATGCTAATGTACATAAGAAAACTCTACTTGAGTTGAGGGGTCATAGTCCAAGTAGCATAGGGAATGATGTTCGAGCATAGATACTGGTTTAGAGTATCGTCCGACTTGCTGTATTCCTCATGAATCCCTCACTTTCTTCAAGAGAGAAGATGAGAAACTAAGTTGCGGTGGCAGCTGCCAATCAGAGGCAACAAGATTCTAGTTCGGCATGCCGAAGACGTTATTATGAAGCTCCGATCCCTATGCTATTTGATTGAGATGATGACCGAGAATAACTAAAGGAGCTATTGGGTTTGAATCGCTTACTCATTATCTTACAAGAACGTATGAATTCCAATGTTTAATATGTTTCAACATGCGATCACTCTTCTTGTCCTGAATATTCGGCCGAAACATCTCTATCATACAAAACAGCCGAATTTAGTAGGTTGATCACGATGTCACTATCCGAGAGAGAACTTGATGTTATCAATTCGCTGAAGCTGGTGAAGATTGGAAATGGTTCTTGTACAAGACATGTATCAAACATACACGAGTAAAATCTCCCCTCTAAGTACCAGCCCCAATTGTCACTTAACCACAGCTTAGGAACAAATATGTAAGTTATTGCTCTGAATATATATCTTTGTCTATTGGATATTCCCGATACTAATCTCACATTATTAATTATGGATTTGATTGTTAAATGCCTTCGTAAACTTTAGAAGGATCAATTTCGAGCAGGAGCGGAAGTTAAGTGTAAGTGCCTAAAGGCACATAGATGGATAGAAGTCACTCTTAGCAACCATTGAGGTGCTTTTATCGGCATTGTGCTAGCATCACATGACACAGCTAGCTACTTTAGTATCGAGTTTCCTAGAGTCGCACCCAACGTAGTCTAACATAATCTCAGTTGGTGAGCGCGACACATCTAACCGCACCCATTTGACATCCGCCCTTATTGATCAAGGTTCTAGATTCTTGATTAGGTAGTGGATATTGGGCATCAATTTTGCCTCACCCTCACTCCCATTTTGATGAGAGTTGTCACTGATTCCAACTCTCTTCATATTACACTACATCGGACCCCTTTCCGTCCGTATGCCTTCATCCTCGCCCCCAATAGCAAACCCCACGTGGGATGGACAAGAACACAAATGCCACCTATTCATGTTCTCGGCCTGCTCCGATTTTGGTCTGGCCCGGAATCCAAGGGACAAGATCATCGAGTCGAGGCAGCACAGCGAGCCGAATTCTTTGGACAACTGGTGTTTGTGTTCCTTATTTTCGGAACCTTCAGCTACTCTGTTTCCGGCCCGAGACTATTTTACACCCGAATGCCATATCTAAAATCCT